TTTCAAATTTAAATTGTCTTTGCATTTAAGGGTTGAGATAGGATTTGTACAAAAGTTACTGGAAACTTCAAGTGAGTAAGTCTCACTGTTTAATAGTGTAAATAAAAGGTAAAATTTGGTAGTCATATTTTGAGATCAGACATCTGCACTTGTGGCAGTGCCAGGGAAAAGGGACATACAAAACTCATCAATTGGCTTGACTTTGAAAGGAATGAGTTAATCTAGCATACGTAAAGCATCTGTAGGACAGCTTTATGCCTTCTACTCAGAGCTTCAAGGGACAATTCACCTGTCATCTCCAGTTGTGCCTTTGTTTCCTGTGTATATCACTGGCAGACAGTAGTGGAGACTTCCACTAATCTTGTGCTGTCCCAAATAAAGTAATCAGTATCTACTGTGACTTCTTTGTGCCTCTGGAGAGTGCAGAGACATAATGACTCCAATAATCAAATGCCTCATTTAAAAATCCAATGCCTCAAAATTCTCAGCAAACCCTGATAATTTTCTAACAACATGCTTTTCTTTAGGAACTTTGCATCAGATCTCATTATATGTTATCCAAAGATACGACATCATTCTTTAAAATATGTGGTAAAAAGCCATATAGGAGAAAGAGTAGGTCTTTTTCTTTTTTTAATTTTTTTTTAATACTGAATAATCCATTTTCAGTACAAAATTTTCTGTAATCTCATACAGGATTCAACAATTTTAAGGCAGTAGTAGACTCTGATAGAGCAGAAGTAACATAGTGATGTTAGTGAAACAATTCCAACATGTTTGGAATAGTGCTGCTCCACGTGATGGTTAAAAGAAAGCACCCTCAGATGGCTGTCTGCACATGACTTAGTCCGCAGGAGTTGGAAGTTGCTTTAAAGAGCTGCTGTGCCGTGGCTGAAGCAGAAGAGCCTGACATTTTCCTTTAGAGAGCACTATGGGAATAAGAAGAACAACCTAATTTGTGTGTTCTTAGCATTATTGTAATTTTTTAAGGGCTTTCCGCTATAGGAACAGTTTATTCTTTGTTTTTTTGGTTAAATCATACTTCAGGGAGTTAGGATGACCCAGCTTTCATTCTTGGTCTTTCCATAATTTTGTTCTGTGAGTTTAAGTCACTTAATCTAATTCCAATTCCTAATGTGCAGAATTTGGATAATAGCACTTCACAGTGTCTTTGAATTCTTGTTATGTTGACTCTGTTATTGCAGTGAGATGTTGCAATATGGTGGTGAGTGCTTTACAAATGCTATACAAATTTTATGTGTCTGTATATGTAGCATTTCTCCATCCAGCACCATACTATTTATTGATAATGTCTTTCTGCCACCACCACTATAAGAAGCATTGTGAAGCTGTCTAGAGGTAGCTGCCATAGCTTTTATGGCACATTTACAAATGGGATAGTGATACACTTCTTGGAACTGTGGCTGTCCTGCTCCGTCCTAATGGTGAAATGATATGTGCAGAGAGCTGAATTCTGGAAGGCATTGGTCTGTGCGCGCCGTGTCTCTCCCGCTTCTTTATACATGCCAAATCACAGTCCTTCCTGAGGCTCGCTTTAAACTCCAACACAGCTTACATTTTTTATTTGTTTTAATAAACACTCCAGTGTTTTCTGGCAATTCTTCTCTGTTTTCATACATTAGTTATCAAGGTGGTAACATTTTTAAAACCTCCAGTAAAAGCCTCAAATTGTTTATTTTTGCCAAATAAAACTCCAGTTTTGCTGTTTCCTTTTACAGCCATACTTTTAGGCCCTTTGTCTAGGACTAGAAGATACTTACAGTATACTTATAGCTTTTTAAATGCAAGTGCCCTTTGGGGGCCTTTTGATATTCTTTTGTCTATACATGTGTGAATAATTGACCATTGTGTGGAAGTAATTGCACATGCAAATAGGTACCCATCCAATGTTATGTATTTGTAATCAAATTCATAATTCAAAATGAGAATAATTTTATTTTAAATATCAAAGGATTGTTTTAAGTGTTCTCACAGGAAACTTAACCTGTTTATGTATGTGTTTACAGGAAATGAATTATGCTTTTCACAACTTAATGCTAGTTGTTAACTCAGAGGAATTGCTGCGTTTCTATATTACAGCTGAGTATTTTCTAACAAAAGCAGAACTATCTTATACTTGCAACTTGAAAATGTAGGTCATTGTGTTGGCAAATGTAGGTCAGAAGGAAGGGGAAGAAGGCAGAATGCAGACTCCTCCACGTGTATCTTTAAGCTTATCCCTGTTTTGAAAGCAAAGAGGCTTACCTACCTGTTCAAGCAAGAGAGGCTTTTCCTTTTACTAAAATTAACACAGGTATTCTTGCTGCAGGCTTCTTGGCTTAGCTGGAGGCGCTGTGTGTTTCCGCACTTCAGACCTGTGTTCACGAAGGACTTTCTGACTCCTGCTTTTTTTAGCTGCCAGCCTCTTATATCATTGCTGAGGTGATACTTTCTTTCCTATGGATGAAGAGGGGGGAGGAGAGGCATGTCCATCACTAGCATCTGCTTAAAGAAGGGCATTGTCCTTCCAAAGGTGCTTTACCTTTCTCTCAGCAAAGAGCTATCTCGTGTACCTGAAGTTTCAGCTGGTATCAACATTGTAATGGTAGCAGGGGAAAGAACAGTGACCCCTCATAAAAGATTTAGTGGCACTATTCAAAGTGGCCTTTCAGTAATAACCGTAGAAAAGTGAACGACATTTGACTGAGGGTACTGAAAACTCAGATGTTGAAGGATTTTGCTACAATTGACAACTATTTTAAAAACTTACTCAGGCTAAAAGTTTGCTGTGAAAGGCTTTAGTTATTTGGGGTGGGGGGGATGGTAATGTGAGCTATGAAGTATTATAAGTGATATTAAATTGGCCATGCCTACACTAAATATTAAAAAACACTTTTATTACTTGAGTATACACCAGTCACTGCAAACTGAAACATTCTTTATATCATACACTAAATATTTAAACAGTTATTATATTTATTGCAAAATCTGTCATTTTAGCATATTTCAATGCTCAAAAGCATTGAAATGCTCAAAGGAGAGATGGAAAATCCTGTACAATTCTTGGTGTATGTTTCACTGAAGAATGGGTAATCGTGTGTGAATATTTTATTTTAACCCTTAGGAAGTCTGAGTAAAATAGGAGATTTGCAAAAGCCTTATCAACTTAAGCTGTAATGGATTGGACAAATAATAATATTACATTAATGTTTTTGTTGTGTATAGGAATCAGAACTCTATTTTTTAACCTTTGAGATCTGAGTCATAGAAAAGCTATATGCCAAGTTTTGGCCAAATCCTGTCCAGGCTTTTGCTTGATCTGCATGCAGATAACATATTCATAAATTTTCATCATTTATCACAATGACTATGGGTAATTCAGAGTAGGAATTGGAAGAGCAGAAAGAATTAGGTATTTGAGCATTACAATCAGATTGTAAGTGATTGAAAAGAAAGACAATTTTTCTCCCAAACTTCTATTAAATGTGTTGTAATGTTTTTAATGCCTTTATGGAGAAGAAACAATTGTTTCTTCTTCTCATCAATGGTCTAAAGGATGCACATGCATAATAAGCTTCATGGAATTCAGTTTGCCTGTCTCTAAATATCTGAAGGATACTCCCATATGTCTTAAGTTTACTCAAACCATTAAAGTATCTACAGTTTATAATATTAAGCCAGGTTTCTATCCTAGTAATTCATAATGCTATGTATTGAGAGGGGAAGCTAACCCTTGTTTTGACCTGTAGATAAACACGTAAACATATTTTTTTCATTGCTGAGCAACAATGGAAGGAGAACACATAAAAATGTGGTTTGACAACAAATGCCTTTGATTCATCCTCCCATAACTTTGGGAGCTTAACCTGAGTTCCTGAATACCAAGCTGTTTTCCCCAGGCTTTCTTTAAGCAATGGAGAAAGAAAGATGCCCGCAGGAGACCATACCAACCACTTAAGTTCTGAACTGCCATCTCCGTTGATCGTGTAGCTTCAGTTAGGTCCTTAAACTTAAATAGGAAACTGCTATGAGGTAACAGTAAGTTTCATGAGAGAATGTTATTGAAAGAATAGATTTGAATTGATGCCTCTAGGTATTTGCTAAGGTTGGCTATGATCAGTATAAGATTTATGACTGAAGCTTATAAAGTCATGAATAGTATGGATTAGGCAGATAAAGACTGATCGCTCCCTGTCTATTCCCCTACAAGAACCAGAGGGCATCAGATGATCTTTATACAGCACACAAACTGTGGAGCTTGCTGCCACAGGGCATTATAGCTATTGAAAGTTTACATAAGTCTGAAGTACAATTAGAAAAATCCTTTGGTAACTATTAAACACAAACTTATCACTTGTGGCTGAAGAAGTTTCTGAGGAGGACTGAGGAGACACAACTAGAAATGATACTATTTTATAACCTTAGTCATATACTCTTGCTTAGCCTGCGCTGTTGATCAGTGTTCCTTAGGGTCAGACTGATGCCTATCCTAGCAAAACCTAAGAGCCTTGCATGAGAAAAGGGGCTAAATTTTCTGGTAAGAAATGAACTGACCATAAAGCTAATGACAAAAGGAAGGGGCTCTTGTCCACTGTGAGAGGCAGGATACTGGGCAAGATGGACCTTGACAGTTTGATGTTCATGTAAGGGCCCGTACGTCAAAAGTTTCAATTAAATTGTAATACAGTTTTTAAAATCATGACACTGCTGTGGGTATGTGTAGATATATATGCATGTATATGTGTGTGTATGCATTTATATACAATATATATGTATGTATGATCTTTAGTCAGGGAGAAATCTATGAAATATCCAGTTCAAATGCTAAGGATAAGAAATCTGTCACTAAAAAATTTGATTCTTTTCTTTACACTGTGGTACTATGGCAAATTTAAAAAATGAAACATTTGGTAGAGGTCTGAAAATGGTAATATATATTCAAACATTATTTCAGAGAAAAAAAAAACTGTTCTAAGAAGGCGAATATCTTTGTTTTACAGGTCTCTGGCCATCTGAAGAAGTGCTGGCTTACTACTGCCTAAAGCACAATGAAATGTTCAGGTACAGAGCTAAACATAAAAAGATATTTTCCAATGTATTAGTTTTATTGTATCTGCATGGTAAAGATTGCTATGATTTAAGTCTTCAGATTAAATTTAAAATGTTCAAGGTGAAAGCATGTTGCTCTTAACAAAGAATTCTGAGCTGCCTTTGGGTACTAATATTGCACAGCAAGCTTTCTGCTATATGTCAAAGACTTTTGATTTCCACTCAAGGCGTTTTATTTCACTTTGATTTTTGGGAAACAAAAGCGAAGCTCCAATCGATCAGTACTGATTGTGAAGGTCAGGAAAAATAAAAGACGTTCTTTAAACTGACATCTGTTGCAAAAGCAAGCAAAATGTTACCTGATAAAGTACATAATAATCATTGTATATATTGATGGAGGAATTTGCACCTGTATTTCAGCTTTGGAAAGCATTTTTGAGACATCCTACTCTTTTATATAATTTTGATTTTTTCACATGTTCTAAACTTGTAGAACCCAGGTTTGAAGCATCCAATAGAAATGCTTAAAAATAAAATCCAGCCTGTGTCCTTTCTCCCCCCTTGAGTATACAGAGCCCTGCACTTGGCAATCCTTGAAGTTTCATTGTCCGGGAAGATGAAAGAGGTTTTAAGAAGAACTATAACAACAGCATCTTTGCAGGCGTAGATTATGTTCTGAGCAAGGATACAAGGGTAACACCTAGTAAACCAGCTTGGAGTACACCAAATCCCTCATTCGATCTGCAAATGGTGCTGGAAAAATACAGAAGAACAGGCTGCTCCAGTCTGGCCCGTTTACCAAAGTATAAGGTCCCTAGTTTATAAAGCCTCATTTTAACTCCAGCAGCCACCTGAATGAAGCCCACCGCATAAGAGGAGGCAGCTAACACACCTAATCAGGTGGTTACTGCTCCTTCCCCTGAGTTTAGATGGGTACTGTGTTGTTTCACTTTGTTGCTATAGTAGTATCTCTGTAGCACTCCGTCATCCAGCCACATGTAGTGCCTCGTACTGTCCACTTGTGCCTGTATGCGTATATATGTATATATGCATGCATGCATATGATGTATATATGAATTTGGTTCAAAATGCCTGAAAATTCCCTCACTGGATACTTATTGTGTTTATTTCAATAAACCTGACTCTTGTGAAGGGTTACATTCGTTGTACATCTTATAACTGTATCTATAATCTTGTATATATATAAATTTTATATATACACATATATACATACACATACATACATACATACATATACATATATATATATAAACACACATCATTTAGAAAAATCAAAACCTAGGGGAGGAAAAAACTGTAAGCATTGTATTTAAATCACAAACTGCAAATTTCCTCCAGTTTGTTTTCAGTTCTTACTGGATTTTAGGCATAGCTTGTTCCTCTAAACTATGCCCATCTTTTCTTTCAGTTCCATTAAATAGGACAAACAGAATTTTTGCAAATAAAATTTGCAGAGTCTAAGAAAAATAAGTCTATCCTGTTCAGAGACTGAGCATTAATACATGTTCATGCAGCCCAGTCCAGGGACCTCAGTAAACAATCTCTCAGCCTCAGCATTCTGATATTGATATGCATCCTAGATATTATTCCTAAATATGAGCATAGGGCTAGCAGGGAAGTAATATTTTTACGTGAAAATAGATTTTGAAATGATAGGGTCTTAGGGGAAAGGGAAGGGTGCACCCAAAAATCTGTTTAGTTGAAATTCCACTGTCAAAATGTTAACATGGAAACGTTTCTGGCAGCCCTAACAGTGGCCATAAATTTAGCTGTAAAACAGCCTGTTCAGTTTGTTCCTAAACCGACTCTCTGCCTTGCCCTAAATGCTGCCTCATGCAGCTTTGGTGTGCAGGCTCCGTCCCTCCCTCCTCCCTCCTGGGCATGCCATGGCTCTGGAGGACGGTCTTCCTACGGCTCCCCCGGCAAGCTCGCAACCTGCAGGCTCGCTGTGCCAAATAATAGTTCACACGCACGTCTTAATAACTGCAGTATGGTCTAAGTTAAAAGTAACCTTTTAAAGCATGTATTCAACCCTAAAGCTTGGGCTCAGTTTCGGCTCTTGACACTAACTTCTCTTAGTTTTCTGTGGCTTAGCTGTGTGCTGTTCCCGTCGTTGTTCACCACAGCATTGTTTGTAGGTCACTTGCAGTTTTAAGTGCTAATTGAAGGATCAAATTTCTTCATGTGTAATTGTTTTGTGATACATGGCTTGTTTTAAAACTTGTCTTTTTTAATATAAAAAGGCTTTTAGGCATAACTATATAGAGAGATATATAAATAATATTATTTTCTCCATTTACTTCTCTAACTGTTTTTGAAAGACTGAATGTGGATTAACATTGTTATCCTTTCCTAACAATTATCTTTCGCTACTCTAGCTAGTTTAGTTCTAAAAGACAGAGCCATTGACAAGGGAAAAAAGGGAACCTTCTCAGATTTTTCAGCTCAGCGGTGGTAATGTTGCACTGAACGCTAATGAGGGAACCCCCACTGATTTCCCTGCTTTGTGACTTTTCTATTTCATAATTATTTTTAAAACGCAAAACGACATGAGGTAGCCTAGTCATGTCTCTACAACTTCCTGGTAGCTCAGTTCTCACTGCAGATGGCAATTTGTTCTTGTAACATATATGTCTCTCTGACCATTTTCATCTAATTTGTATGGGTTCTACCATTTCCTTTCTCTCTTTCAGGGACCTTGCTGTGTGTGAGCTAGGGGGTGGCATGACATGCTTGGCTGGGCTCATGGTAGGTCTTTTCTCAATTCCAATCCCATTCAGAGGAAGAAACAAAAGGAAAAATGTTCCAGTGCCTCCAACTGCTGGGTCAGAGAACTGTCAACAGCCTCAGCTGCGGTCAAGCTGCAGAGTCTTGAGAGACCTTCTAGATTGACTTGCTTTCGTATCATATTGATTTTATGGTTGCCTCGATGAGCAGAAACATTTTACCTCAGTGTAGTCAATATCTCTTGTTGTGACATTCCAGGCCACGTACGGTCTGTCTTTCATTGCCATGGCTGAAGCATTTTTTTTTTTCAGATTATAGTCCCATTTGCTAAGATACAGGAATAGCCTGGCGAATCACAGTTGGAGCACCATGATATAGCTGCTAATGTTTTGCCTGCATTATTACACCAACAAACATGATCCAGAGCTCTCGGTAATTAGATTCTTTTGAATTAGATTGGCCATTCAGGAGAGTCGTTCACCATTCTCTGGGTTCTGAGTCATGTATTCAGGAGATATTATGTAGCAGTGCAGTGCATTAGACAAGTTTTTATGTCTCTACAAATAAAAGCATATTGTTACACTGATTGGCATTTGACAAACCTGTCGCTCTTATACAATGTGTCGAGGTTACAGCCCAATGTGCGAGCATGTCAAAGCTCACAAAAAAATTACCCTTACAAAGCCATCTGCCTGCAATGCAAAGTTATATGAAGGGCATCAGGCAGTCAGACAGAAGCAAGCTGAAAGGCAGAGTGACAGCCTTGTATGATGGCTCTACTAGATAAACAGAAGCCCGCAAATGAAAGCCTCTCAGAATACCATCATCCGCTGTCACAATGCAATTACGGAACAGAATGATAGCAAGATAGAGGCTCCCGCAAATGGAATGATAAAAGTATTGACTGATTTGATTGAATGATTAAAATAATGCAGACATAAAATGAAAAAAGATTGAAGATTGTTACAGAGAAATAGGTGAGGAAGCATGATACTGAAGGCTTGTCACTCCTGTCTTCACTTCCACACAGACAAGCATATTTGCTCATTGTTTGCTGTGCTCTTTTTTTCAGGTTGCTATTTCTGCAGATGTCAAAGAAGTTCTGTTAACTGATGGAAATGAAAAGGCCATCAAAAGTATCCTTATTCAGATAGAAAACTGGTTTGTTGTGCTCATTCCTTTTTACTGGCTGAGTAACAATCGATATAAAGACAGACAGCATGGGGTATATTAAGAAAAAGTCCCCACACAAGTAATTAAAAAATAGATGTAGAATATCTTGAACAGAGCTACAATTTCCCCTATAATAAATTCCCCATTTTCTTCCTAAATTAAAAATGTACACGTTGCTATAGCGCAAGTACAGTAGTAGTAAATATTTGTCTTATGGTTCAGTACTGAAAGATTCCTTGTGTATGTGCTGCATGTAACAGGAGGTGTAGCAGCAGATCAAATCATTAGCTTCCTTTTGACTTATGTTATTTTTGCAGGAGACACTATATATTTTTTTTTTTGCCTGCAGATACTAACGTCTTAAAATATACACAGTATTTGTATAGTGTCGTAGCTTTTCTAGGGTATATTAAAACATATAGTTTCGTTATTGCTACTAAGTTGTAACTGCCTGCAAATTATCCATTTAGCCTGCTTAATCAATTATCATTTTGTCATTATTTCTCTTGATGTACCATTGTAAAACTACTCTGTCCCTTGTAGGCAGTATTTTATTATATTCCCCGTATGATTATATTAGAATAAATTGTTATTATGCCATACTAATATGAACACATAGTTCAGAAAATTGAACTGTACTTTGGCTAAGCGAGAGAATGAGTGAGCATAATTTGTGGCCACATTAAATATCAGCACAGAATAAGAACAGATATATATGGTGAATACTAATAGCCCTTAGAAATTGAGAGGAAAAAATGGAAGATACCTATTTGCTTTTGTTCCTTGGTAATCTTTCCATTTGCATTCTAAGGCAGACTAGTTGTTTGGGTTTTGGCCACTGCCTCGTCAGAATTATTTAGATTTCAGATTTGTGTGTATTTGAAAGCTAGCATAATGAGTACTTGCTGAAAGAATAAGTTAAACTATGTTGTAGGTTGAAAAAATTGCTATTGCTTATAACTGTTAAAACAGGAAACATGGCAGTGCATGTTAGCTATTAGCTTTAAAAACACGTTAGAGGTAACTTAGTGAACTATAATTCCTTACAACACTTTAAAAATTTCGTGGAGAAAGACAGCCAATCACGAATCATATCATTTAAAACTTGAAAGAAGCCTCATAAAAGTCTCCTTTTTCTTGAAAATGCAGGTTCTCAATTGTGTTCCAAGGATTTTTATTTTGCTAAATTCTAGTTGATTAAGTTCATGGCTTGAGGAGGAGGTGTTCATTATTCTATGTGGTTTTATACAGCATCACTTCTTCCAATCTTTCTCATACGTCTTTATGAAGATAAAAAATGTGGGGGAGTAAAAGCTTCTCAAAACTGGTATAATAAAACAAACTGAGGTTTGACAAAAGCATGTTTTTTGACAGAAGGTCATTTTACCCACAGAAAGCTTCAGGTGAGCTTAGTAATCATCAACTCACCAAATATCTTGCATAGGAGATTCCATAAACATACCTGGACTTTTATCAAATTTATCCATCTTCTACAGATAGGAGAATTGGTGAGTGCTAAAAATCAATCTTTGCTCAACCTTTGGAACTAAACAATTTAAAGCGCTATTATTCCTGAAAAAGATACTCTTAATGTAATCTAATAATTAATACACCTTAGTTTTCACAATATGTTTTAGAAATATCTTTTATTTCTGAAAGTCTTACAAGAAGTCTTCATCTGTATTCACTCAGTGAATCCCTTTTAGAGAAGTGGTTGGTGGAAGGCTCTAACAGGAATTTATTTTTCTTTTTTAACATTTGGTGCTCTGAAGGCTCAGCATTCAAAGTGCTTTTATTGTGCTGGATTTTACAATGGGCTTAATATTAGCAGGGTGCCAAAGTGCAGCAGACTAAGAACTTTACAGTGTAGGTGGAATGTATTCTTAAAAGAGCATGTAATAAAATTTAGGTTGCATTTTATGTTTTATGGACTTCACTAGTGATTTTATGATCTGTCGTACGGTAATTTTCTTTGGCATTCTTTGCTAGAGTGACTAGCTATAACACAAGTTTAGACTAAATTTAAATTTGTTTCAGCCACACCAGACTCACAGAAATCAATAAGATTTTTTAGTTTAGTTAGTATCACAGACTACAAATGATGTATGCCTGCTAACTTTTATTATTGCTGGTGGTATTTTTTAATTGTTTAGCGTACCAATTTAAATTAATGTGGGATAAAATACTGTTTTCTTGTCTATATTCTGCTCTTCAGGAATAGTTAATGCCTAGTATTATGCTTTTTTATGTAGGTATTATAGAATAAAATAATCTTGTTTAAAAATTACTGTTTACACCTTCCCTTAAATTTCTTAGGAAGCTTAAATTACATGCCAGTCATACTATAATATCCAAAAATTACTTTCCGAAAAGTGAAAGTGGTTGTCAACAAAAAAGGAAAAAAATCACTGTCAGAAGCCAGGAAATCACCAAGCAAGCCTGCTAATTATTCTTAATGGGCAAGATGAGCACATTAAGAAACAAATGAATACATCAGTGAAATGTAATTGAAAATCGACCTGGCAATAGTGCATTGCATCTGAGAATCTGCCTTTGTATTATTATCATCATCATAATTATTGTTGTTTTTGTTGTTGTTATCGCTATTCAGTGAGCGTAACTAACAGCTTTGCTTTGTGAAGTCTTAAGCTTTTGAGGATTTGATTTTTCTTTTAATTTTTGACAGTCTTCATATTATTCTCCATTTCATACTGCCACATGAAGTATTCAGCGTAAATGTTGTGTGTATCTATATTAGGATATGTTATTGAAATATTGCAAGTTAAAAAAATTGAAGAATATGTTAATTTCAAATCATTATTGTGATTTTAACCATTTCACTCTGAATATATAGCTATATTATCTATTAATTGATGGTCTTACGCAGGCCATGAGGTTTATGGAAATTTTTAAATTGATGTTGTGATGTAAGTTACTAATCCATTTAGAAGATTTCACTCCAACTCACTCTTTTTACTTGTCCTAGGCAGATTTTAACTAAATCATTCCTATTGCAAAACCTGTGAAATAAAGACAGATGTTCTTTCTTTTCCAGCTTCTTTCAAAACTTTATTGTTGATTTAGTGTGTTTGATCTAAATTCTTTCATGATTGTTTAAGTAAAGATAATATTAAAAATAAAAATGTAGATCTCTCAAGTGGATGTTAAAGATATATCTAGGCAAAGGCATCAGATTCAATCCCCTTTGAAATTTTCAGTAATATGCATTCAGATATAAATTTTCCAGTTTAGGTCATTTCTATGATAGATCCAACCTAGAATACTAAATTCTATTTCTCTGAAACACTGGAAGGATCTAGACTCAGTTCAACATGTCCAAATCCAAGGATCAGGTTTGTTTTTTGTAAAAAAAGTCTCCTGATTCAGAGACGCTATGTACCTTCTGTCTTAGCTCTGTTTCACACCATGCTCTAGTGATTTGGACTACTGTTGGAAAGTGTCAATAATACACAACATTGTTGCAGTGCACTGTAATGGCCATTAAAATATAGCATATGGATCTTTCAACAGTCCTGGGAAATTTAAGTTAGAAAGGTCATGTTCAGCCTGAATGCCTGAAGACATGGTTTTATAAATTATTTTAAAATGTTAGTGTTAACTTGTTTATTACAATTATTAATAGTTATTATTTCCGCGGTGAAATAGTTTAACTAATTTATCAACAATGTGACTTCTGCCTCTACTGAAAGAATAGCATGCTTTGTTCATGGAGTTATTTATGCCTGCCTTTTGCTTCAGAAGTATGTGCCATTCCCTATTACTTTGTATTGCATATTGTGGCAACAATTTACAAGGGATGCCCAAAGTACAGAGATGGGTTTAAACCATTTTTCTGTCATTGAATTTGTAATTTTTAATTTCACAAAATACCAATTGTCTTTTCTTTCACATTGTTTGGATAGAGCTTTTCCTAAAATAACTCTTCTTAAATAGTCAGCAGTGTTAGGAAGGCTAATTATGTATTTCAGCAAAGGAAATAAAAAGATACATTAGTCATTGTTTAAATGAGCCTAACAGTACAGTATTCAATTTTCTTATAAGAGCATTTGCAAAGAAGAATTTAACTTTAGGGGCACCAACATCCTCCTAATTATCACCTGATTTCCTGTATCTTAAAAAAGAAAGAGCAGTCATTGACTTACTTTTCAAAACTATGCCTGTATGACTCAGTGCTACTACTGTAACACATTAGCGTCTGACTCTCTTTCTGATTTTAGAACTATGATCAGAATGAAGATTTATTTTAGAGGAAACACATCCCTTTTCAGGTATCTATGCAGTAGTAGTAGTAGTAGCTGTAGGCGTCTACAGTAGGCTGTGGCATCTACGTTTATTGTGCTATTTGAGAGTGATTTTTTTTAGATATGCATGAATTCAAGTTGGCTCTCATTTAGTCTTCTCATACTTTCTCAGTGACTTGCTACACCTTGTCTTTCCAAGGGCTCTTCAGTAACCACACATGACTGATTGTAAAGGTTGTCTTTTCAGGGCACAGCCCCCCTGGAAACTTTTCATTGGCAATCCTTGCTTTGGCTCTGCCTGAAGGGCTACCCAAATTTGTGACCTGATCTTCCAGACTGAAAGAGGCTGAAACACGAGGCAAAGGCAACACTTGCAAGGCCTATGGGGAAGAAAAGGCATTTTTTGCTTTCTACTGATCTGTTATGGCATAGAGGAGCTCCAAACCAGTCTCAAGAAAGTAAACAAACTAGAAACTCCCTTGGCTGCAGGTGAAAGTGCTCCTGTTGTATGTTGGATTTTATCCAGACAGTCAGAGCCAAGAGCAAAGGTACATGGGCTGTGGCAGGGGTGGAACTCAAAACCCTTCAGCCTTCGAAACCTCAGCACTGTGATCTGGTGATACAGTCAAAAGCAGCACAAATTAAGCTGCTCATTAAGTGACTGTGCTAATGAATTCCTGTTCCCCGCGGTTGTAATTCATATATTTGTAAAAGATAGTTGCCTTTAAATGTACGTAAGATATGGGAAACCTTTTTCAGCTCCCTCCCCCTTCCTTAAATGGAAGCGTTAATGAAAGAACTGTCAATAGAGGTAGACAACAATAGCAAGTTGCGGGCTAGATTTATGGCTGATGTGCCAGAGTAGCACTGTAAAATCTATACTTCTGAAAAGACTGACTATTATCACAGATTAAAGCAGACCAAACAGATAAAAGACACTATGAAGGTATTAACAATGGAAAAAATATTCCTGATGATTTTTTATTACTGCTCTAATTTTATAGATATTTCTTAACAAGTATGCTACAGATGTAAGTGACATCATCACAAGAAACCAAAATGCGGGAGTATTTAAGGCTCAGAAAGTGGCAAGCTGGTAAGATTCTGCTAAAGTGGCTTATAGATTCTTGCATGTAATTGTATATTTAATGTAAGTGGGAAATGTATGCAAAAGTGTGACCTATATGATTAATGCTGACACAGATGTATACAATGTAAGAAGATGTGTCACAGTGTAAGTGATGCAAACCAGAAAGTTGAAAGTATTAAAAAAAATTATTTGAATTACTTTTTTCACCTGGCAAATACAGTGTGATTAATCTTGGTGACATAATGGTCCCTTTGCTTTTTATTTTTTTAAACATACAGCAAGTCTTTTCAAGCTGCTGTTCATTGCATAGTTGAAATTTGGCTTCTTGAGTATCAGCATTACCCATTGTACCGAAGAAGAGACTTGGAATGAATGTATCTAAATAACTGGTAGTGTTCATTTTTAAATAATTCTGAGCAGCAAATTCCTTTACCCCTGAGGCAGATGTTGTTGGGCTCTTTGTGGGAAGATTTTGGCCATCCCGTCTCCTGGATCAGTATCATGCAATGTTGTTGCAAAGGCAAATGGACCATGTGGGAGATAGGCACAGAGTGCTAGGGCCTTTCTTTACGGTCGTTGATCAGATTCTGAAGTCAGGGCGCACCCAGTGTTTTTCTCAAACTGCACCTGCTTTGTTGTCTCAGTTATTGCTGAAGACGTGCTCTAGAGGGTGAGCATTGTAGATGTTCAGAGAACTTCCTTTCTGATCGTCTCCAGAGCTGTTCCTGATCCATCCTATAACTGCTACTTATTTCATTGAAGTAAGGACTTTATATTGCATAGATTCACCAGAAATCTCCATGTGTGGTAGGGGCCGAAAGCAGCTGAGGATTTGAAGTGTGTTCATTTTTGATAGTAACTAAAAAGTAAATTATCATACAGTACTTCCTATTTATGTTACAAGACTATGAATTAGAATGTGCTTAGGGGTGGCTACCTAACAGCAAATAGTGCACTCGCGTTTGTGTGTCTAAATGGTTTTTTTTAAAATAACTTGTATTTCAGAATAAGGGCCCTTAGTCCATCTCAGAGTGACAAAAGTAAAGTAGAAAAAGACAAGCTGTAACAGCAGAAGAGGCATATTAACATAGAGGGTAAAGGCCATACAATTTTAATTCATTCACATCATTCATCCTATGCTTGTGCAACCAATAGACAAGTTCTTTAAATGAGCACTTAAGGTTAGAAAAATATCTGACTTCATTATGGTATACGTCTGTACACCTTAGAAACATATCTGTGCATCCCAATAATTGTCTTCCCAGTAGACAAAGGCCATACAGGCCCCAGGAACAGTCTTTTAGGTTCCAAGTGCAGAGTGCTTCTTGTGAGCAACCTCAAAAACTCAGCTGTGCCTCAGGGGGAGGCTGTCTTTTGTGGTACCTCTATACAGAATCTTAGATTTTGTAGTTTTCCAGTAGCTGCATACTTTGTATAGGATTTCAGACTTCACCCCTTGTCAAGATTTCAAACCTGGTCTTTTAGATATCAATCAAAAGCACATTTTCTACCCTATCCTCATTTACATTTATCTAATGCTTAAGGTCATTTGTGATCATTTGAGTGTATTTCAGCATATGGAATCAGTGAATAATAGATTTCAGCTTCATGCTGTGAAGAAAGATTGTGTTTTTACAAGACACTATGTTGTTTACTGGGTGTTAATAATCACTAATTGATAAACATATCTAGACTTCATAAAATGTTGCATTTTAAGGAATAAAAGTGTCAAGTGTTTAACTTATCAAGTGCATTAGCATTTTGGGATTTATTTGCATAAATAAAATAATTAAATTACAAAAAAAGTGAAGTCCTATCTCAAAGCAGAAAGCACTTTCATTATAATAAACATTTTATTTGATTTTTACTTCTATATTCTTAAGGCTTTCACAGGTTTGTTGTAACATATTCTGTACAATTTTAAAAAATATGTATTCAAATAACTAATCTCAAAAATCATTTTGCATTTCTTCTATGTTGTACACATTAGTAGTTGATGTTTCCTGTCAAAATTAAGGCTATGCTTTTGTTAGTTATTTGAGAAGTATTAATAGATGGATCAATCCTTTGGATTTAGTAATAGCATGTGATGAAGACAGTAGTTATGAAATTATTTGAACACGTCTCAAGACCATGGAGAAGCTTGAAAGGCTGATGTAGTAGCTGAATATTACCGTAATCCTGATTCACTTTTTCTACAACCCCAAACCTTAGTTTTGTAATGATATACGGAAAAAAATCATAAGAAAATGTAATATTTTGTAGAGAAGAATGCAACACTGACATGCAAATGACTTTACATTGATCCAAACTTGTGGGCAGAAGAATGACAAGTACAATGATGTATTTAAATGACATATTACAACATTAATTTAATCTCAAGAAAGCATTACATATTCCTCAGTCTTGCCTATCATTTAAACAGGGGCCAGTACAGAGACTCTTACCATATAAAACATAATTCAGAATAGACTCTTCTCACTGCATCTCCATCTCACTTTGGGATATCTTTTCCTTGCACATGGAGTGGAAATTATGAGGTATGAGACTCAGTCTGTCATGTTTCAGATATGTAACTCTAGACTTGGAAAATATGCCAAAAATGTCTGGTAAAAAAATGAGCAGTCCAATATCAGCCAAGAGAAGTTAGATTAGGACATCCTGCCATATATTTATTTATTTAGATTTATACAAAATGCAATAAATGAGCACTTATTTAGCTCTCTGCCAACTCTTGATTATTGTTTAAAAGTACAGTAGTGAAAGCCAAACTGGCAGTTTGTCATATTATGTGTTATAATATAATAACAGATATTTAGTAAACAGTTTACTTCGGCATTGACTATACAGTTCTATGTTTATTTTTAGCTTCCAGTGGCATATACAGAATTTCTTGCTAATGCTTATTGGGAATATGTATGGTAATGCCACTGTTACTAATAATGACTTGCTATAGTAAGGCAAATTACTAATACCATGTATGAGTTTGATAATTTTATTTTTTCCCCCATTCACAAATTACCCATAAATCACTTTAAATTTACCCCATAACTTGGCATATGAATTATCCTGATAGCCGTCTTCATACCGTCAGCTGTTGACATGCATCTTACCATTGTTTGAACATATCCACTAATGATCAGAACAGCAATAACAAAGTTGTGGAGTCTGCTCTTTTTCTTCTTTTTCACGTGAAAAACTGTCTAAAGCGTGGGTTTGGCATTATAGAATTTGAAGAACTGTTGTTGTTACAAGTGTCTTGATGGAAAAGCTTTATCAAAGAGGAAAAATTGTAATATTTTCTAAAGGTTAATGGACTGTTTGTCTTACCTACCAGGGACTTTGTTCTTCCATCAGATTCCCTTGTCTGAGAAGACTGACTCAGTCAAGAACAAAATTGGTGTATTTATTACTGGTATCAGACCTATGAGTTTTAGGTATGGACAAGTCTACTATGTTGCTAAGAGCTGCCCCAGGAGGATTACATTCTACGCAGTAGTGAGAGCAAGTACATACAACATAAAGACAGGGAGAGAAATGCTTATTGCACAATGCCCTTTGTTAGATCTGATTAGTAGTAGTTTATCATGTACTCTTTGTCCATGTTACAGTCAGCATTAGAACCTGCATTAAAAAGGTATGATGAAGAGACCAAAAATAACAATTCTTGCTCCTTCAAGGTTAACAGATAGATTATCATGTTATCCAAGATTGTAACGTTTCTTACTAATACAGTGAATTTACAAGCTTCCTGAACTAAGCCTAAAAGAAAAAGCACCTTTCTAAGGACCAAAGGGTATTTAGTAGTAGAGAAGGAAGAGGCGTCAGTGACAAGTCGCTAAGCTACATAGTCCTGATTCCACTTCTTACATTAATTGCCTTTTTCTCCCTAACTGCCAACATGTGAATATTTTACCTTGCTGCAATGATCTTCAAATCTACCAGCTTCCCAAGTTTCCTCACTCCAACTGATCATACAACAAGCTCCATTGTCTTTAATAAAGACTTCCTACATGTTTCCACTCATCACATTGACCTGAGCATTGGTAAATTCAAACTTATTGTATGCACATTTATTGAGCTTGTTGTGTTTGTTGGCTTTGTAACCCTCAATTAATCTTTCTTCAAATTACTTTTCCGATCTCCCCATGTAAAATTCTTGCATATACAGCACACCTTGGCAAGGAAGAAGCTGCCGAAAGAAACATTTCCTGTTTTTTGATTAGAAAGAAAAGGATCCTGGTTCCTGCTGTCTTCTTTTGATGTGCCTATGTATGTAGTAGAAGAAACAATGAACAGTCTTTCTGTTCATGCCCATTGTGAATTTGTAGCACTCTGTCATAGAAAACTCAACTCAGGTGGAAGCCATTCTGTACCTTTGTTCATACTTGCCCTTCTCTATAGCTTTTCCAGTTTCAATATACTCTTTTTGAGGTGAGGGGGAGCAGGACTGCCTACAATATTCAAGGTGTGTTGTGCAAACGATAGATACATGCAGTGATATAATTACGTTTTCCATTTCTCTTCTAAAAATGCCTCACAGTGATCTGCTTTTTTGACTGCTGTTGAACTGATGTTTTCATGGCACTGTCTGTCATAACATCAAGAGCTTTCTCCTGAGTGGTGATGATCAGTTCGTAGACCTTCCTTTTATGCATAAAGCCAGAATTCTTTTTCCCCTTGTGCTATTTGCGTTTACCTAATACTGAATTTTATCTGCCATTTCATTGTACAATAACTCAGTTTCATCCTTCTGCAATTCTTCAGCCTACTTTTTTATTTGTTATCTTGAATAACCTTATAGCATGAGCAAACTTTGCCACCTCAGTGCTCATCACTTGTAAACATGTTAAATAGAACAGATCCCTTGGAAACTCTACTGATTATCTCCCTCCATTGTGAGAACTGACCATTTACTACTACCCCGTTTCCTATCTTTTGTTCAATTATTTATCCAGGCCAGGACTCTTATCCATGGCTGTCCGCTTTCCTTACATGTTACTGGT